CCCCCCCCCCCCCCAGTTTGTTGGGCAATCGGGCAATATTCGATCAACAGTCGGGCAATTTAGGTGTGTAATCAAAATAAATGGGACAAATTCTGACAATTTAGTGAGAAATTCTGAAAATTTCGTGGTGAATTTTGTGGTTTTTTTGTAAATTTGTGTGATGTTCCGAAAAATTGAGGTATGTCCGGAAAAATTTTTGACCTCTAAAATGGTACACTGACCGAAAATTTTTTGGCGGGGTGGGGGGGGGGAGGTCGATGAAATTATTGTTCGGGGAAAAAAATTTTCGGTACAAGTCGGGCACAATCCCGAAAAGTCGGGCAAATTTCTGTCCGCCGCCCTAATTTTTTCTTTTCGGTACGCCCATGGTAACAATGGTAACATGCAAACGACCAAAATTAATTAATGTATTTACACTATTTGTTTGCAGAAGTGAAAAACCTTCTCACGGAATTACTTGCGATGAATCCAAAGAACCGACCGGCTATTAAGAAAGTCGCAAAACATTCTTGGTAAGTATAACTAGTAATGCCAAATTCAATTACTTCCGATACTAAAGTTTTTCAAATGTACGGCCACACAGTACAATATTTCTAACTGGAATTAAAATAACTAAAACAAATTTTCTTCTTATGTTTAAGGTTGCGGGTAAAAAGGTCACTCAGTGAACGACTGCCATCGTTTGTTAGATCTATTTTGCGTAAACGTCGTGGTTCGTACGACATGGATATTGCAAGGACGGCAAAGCAATCTGGAAATCATCTACTCTTCATGTCTTCTCGACATTCCCAGCGTAGCCAGCGAGCAAATCATGGCCAGTCTGCTAAATAATCATCATGAGATCAGTAACTTGTCAACAACCGGCAGCCATGCTACCAGGACCCATGCATGACCAACTAGGATACTGCAGCTATAATTATATATATCTAGCTGTAGTCATGCAAGCAGTTGTTGAATCATCCTATCAAATATTATCAGCCCTAACTATATATATTCGACGTTTAAATGTATATACTAAAGTTGCATTGTGTTATGCACAAGAGTATCCTTATTGTATGATATTGTATAAGTAATTAAAAATTCTTAAATATTATGACATTTATTTAAATATCGAATATTTCGTTTTAATCACGACATCTTCAGACACCAATTACCAATACGAAGTTGCTACAAATTTTCAATATTTTATTCCGTGTTTTAATTTGTTAAAAAAGTATAGGATCTGTTCAAATTTCCTCTATTTTAATATTACTTTTCCGCGTGTCTTAAAACAGTAGTAAAAAAAGGCATGTACTAAACCCCGAAACAACCGGAACGAAACCACCGGAACAACCGGAACGACCGGAACCGAAACCAGAATCGAACAACAACCAGAACAAGAATAGGAAAAGACCGGAACCACCGAAACCAGAATCGAACAACAACCAGAACAAGAATAGGAAAAGACCGGAACCACCGAAACCAAATCGAACAACAACCAAAGAATAGGAAAAGACCGGAACCACCGAAACCAAAATCGAACAACAACCAGAACAAGAATAGGAAAAGACCGGAACCACCGAAACCA